TTTCTGAATGTATTTAATACACATAGTTAATGCTGTTCTTGCCTCAAGTAATGGCTGTATCCCAACTATGGTAAGATTATCTATTTAGAAGTATACTGAATTAGATAAGGACCAGGAAATATGCCACAAAAGGGTCTTTGGGCAGCCAAAATAGATACTGCAAATGCAGGCTCCCATTTTTGTTTTTTCCATCTAGTAGAGCACTGCGTGTGTTCAAACAGCATGTATTTGTTCTTACTTTAACACACAATCCCATCTCATTTAGTAGTCTGGTTTCTAAACCTGCAGCAGATTAATAATAGCAAATTAGAGGGGACAGAGAAGCTGCTACAGGAAACATACTGATAGCAATGAGAAATGACAGCTGACAACTTGTCTACAGAGGAGAAAACAGAAAATCTATAAAACACACAACCTTAAAAAGCTTTAGCGGACTAGGACCCACTAGTGTGATTGGTAAATGACAAGGCAACCAAACAGTCCATAAGGGCATCACTGCATAATAGAGCAGAGTGCAATAATTGATGTGCAAGATGATGATCTTATACACATCGTGAAAAAGGTTCTACCGCTGAGTACATTAAAAAAAAAAAAATCAGCTCTCTAAAACAATTTGTTCCGTGGGGTGCCTGGTAAAATGAGATTTTGCTATATGCTTGTAAGCCTTAAAAATTAGAAAATGATGATATAAATTGAACTTTTTAAAGTGATTAATTCATTGGTAAAGCATGTATAAGAGAGACATACACATAATTGGTACCTAATAAATGCCACTTGGACATGAATATTGACAATAATTTATGACTTTCTTCTCAAAGATTTCAAAAGGGAGACAGCGTTAAGATTTAAGTCTAGTTGGAACTTTCAAGTCTCACACTCGGCAGCTATTTTATCTTTATGGCCACGTATTTGTTCTTGGTGACGTAGAAAAAGGTCTGGTAAGTGTCCTCTGGAGTTTTTGAAGAAAAGGGACTGCATGCATGTCTGCTCCTGTGCAGACGCCATTAATAATGATCACTGTGCTAACTGTGAAGTTATATGTCTTAGATTCGTTAGCAGTGCACCACCATAGTACTTTCAAAATTTAATGTTTACCAAGTACATCCAAATTTGCTTTTGTTTTTAGGTAATTGTAAACACACAAATACACATCCTTATATTTTTATCGTGGAGAGAAAATTTCCAACGGACTATTAGTATGAGAAGACAGGATGCAATTTGGCTAGCATGAGGTCTCACTTTATTGCTACTGCTATCACAATCTGTTATTTGATTCTTGGCTCTGTGCTGTCACATAATATACAGTTGTTGAAATGGTCTGTAGTTTCTATACCCTATGACTAAAACATATCAAGAATAGTTCTGTGAACAAGATTTTGGTAGCACAGTTAGGAGAGAGATCAGAGCTCAGAGAGGATGAAATAATCATTCTGGCTACTTGCTGACATACCCTTTTGGCTCTTTTCTACTCAGAGATGTGATTTTTTCCTTAAAAAAATTTCTATGACTTATATCAACTTGCCGTCAGAAGTTTTTAATCTTTGCAAATCTAACCATCTTTGCTATTTGAAGATAATGTTTTTGATCCTCTGTGGGTTGGACTTTTGGTTTAATTGTTTTTCCCATTAATGGTGATAGATTTACACGGATTTAGCCACACACTGGTTTCCAGTTTCATTTGTATCCAGTGGCATGTGTTTGCAGAGGTAATGGATTTGCAGCTGTAGAAGATTGCAAAACCATGCGATACACAGAGAAGCCAGACCCTGTGACCTCAGCTTGATTAGCATGGCACCATACACATGTATATTTCAGAGATTATTAGATCTTAGTGTTGAGGATTCTTAGGGTGTTTAAATTTGATTTTCAAGACTTGCTCTTAAGGAAAACAATATGTTTCGAGCTTACGGGTTGTGAGTACTGTCTAGGCATATATGATTGTAACATGTGTTAACTGTTAGTAACAGCCTCTGTGGGTGTTGCTGCAGAACCTATCCGCATTATTGATATGGCTCATATTTAGAACAAGAGCCTGGAGCTTCAAATTGTCTGTGTCATTTGTTGTTTTTGAAAGGAAGGATAGGTGTAAATACTGCCCAAATAGCCTCTGTTGAAGAGCTATTTGTTTTGCAAGTAACAAATGGGAAAGGGAAAAGGAGAAGTCTCTTCTCTAAAATGTTGTGTGGGTGCCCATAATTTAAACTGATGCTACAGAAAGGAAGTATTATTTTCCCAAACAAAACATAGTGGCTTAGTCATTTTCCATTTCTGTATGATGAATGTGTCATACATCTGTATCATGTTTTTCTAGAAGTGAATGGCATACTATACTTAAAGTGAAGCAGGCTTTACTGTGGAGTTGCCAAGGTAACTGACCAGCAAGTATGCAGTTCAGGAGATTGCAGAAAGGCAATTGAGTACACATGAATAAAGAAATGTGCATGTCATCTTAAAACCCAGGAGGGCCGTGGTAGATTGTGGCCTGACTCTGTAGATCGCAGAATTTTTTTTTTTTTTTTTACGAAGGCAGAATCTGAGATGTTGAATGCTAGTCCTTAGAAGTGAGGTGATACGGAGTGCAGGTACCCTTTAATGGTGCCACTTGAAGCCCTGTGGAGGGTTGTATACAAAACAGAATCCTTTTAATATTATTTAATAAGAACAATCTTTCTTTTGCTTTATAAGTTAGCTTTAACCACCGTAAAGCAGCAAAAACTAAGAAACTTATTAGTAGTTGGTGATAGTAATCTGTAAGATGCAACACCTTAAATTAAAAATTTAATATGCTTAGTCCACTAGCATGAGACCTGTGTTTGCCTCTGCAGTGCTTTGTATTAGAGTGTTTTCATCCATTCCGTAAACACATGCTCAACACTCTTATCTGTTGAGAATATGACAAGGTAAACTGTCTTTGTACTTCATGGTGTTCTTAATCTCTAGAAAGAGTGAATTAGATAAGTTCAGAAGAGATTCATTTAGATTACTCAAATATTCCTGTGCTTTGGATGTATGGTTGTGATCTGAGATTTAAACACCTTTAACATAAAGTGAAATAACTTCCCAGCAGGAGTCCAGAACTCTGCACAATTTGACTCTTCTTTCTTTCCCAGATTTCCTTCCCCTTAAAACACACACACACACACACAAACAAAACAAAACAACAACAACAACAACAACAAAACCCAACCCAGGATCTAGCATAATTGACTTAATTTGCTTTCTCGAAAGGGCCCCATAGTATCCCACTATTGTGTCTTGCATGTGTGTTTTTTGCTGAATGTCTGAATTGCCCATCTCTAAGATTTGGAAACCGACTAGTGTTGTAAAAGCCATACTGAGTTCCACTTCTTCCAAAGATCTTTTTCAGAACTTTCCAACCTCAACTGCTCATCCCATCCTTCTAGGTATTGCCAGAGCAATTTATACCTCTGGAACAATAACTACATAAGTATGTGTTGGTCTTCCAAACTGGATGGTGAACTCATGAAAGCAGGGACAGGGTCTCATTATCGAATTCCCTAAAGCACTGAGGATTTAGGTCAAACTGCATTATTGAAAAACAAAGTCAAGTTTCCATCCTTACTATATTTTTGTGTTTCATTTATCTTCATCATTTGGGATTGGGATCACTTCTACAGGTGAGTAAACAATCTGTGGGTAGAAGTTGGACACTCTAAACTTCCCAGGAAGACTGTTTATGAAGACTAGTTGGGAAAGAGAGTTTCCCTACATACCAGTTAAACCTAACTGTAGCTTCTTTTCTTCTTTTGCATAGCCTTTGAAGTCATGTTTTTCRTAGTCAAGTTATAGATATGGGAAGCTATAAGCCAAATATTTTAGTTGAGTTTGACTTTTTTGGTAGCCATCAACAGAATGGCAGGGACAATGTTTCAGATAAAGAAACATCTTGCAGGAGTTTCTGTTTTTACACTGAAAAATTTACTGTCAATGATCTTGCTATCCAGGGCTTTTAGTAAGTTGTGAGCTTGGTGTGAGCAGTCTTGGGGTTCTTAAGGTTAATTACCACATTTACAAATCCATCAGTGACTAAGAGAAAGAACTGGCCTGATAGGGTTTATCTGTCTAAAAATTGCAGCCACTAGCCAATCAGGAAGATAGAAAACCAAAAGAGATGGTAGAGGTGACAAGGGTAATGGCAGTAATGTGTTGGTAGAAATGATGATATCAGAAGAAAAACAATAGGTGGAAACTACTCAAGCCAATTTGGCCATTTTAATGGATTCACATCTTATGTCTTAAGTAACAGTAAATCATGAAATTGTCTCCATTTTACTTCAAGAAATTATTTGCACTGTATTGTATTGTGTAATTGTTATTGCTTATTTAGGATGTGGAATAGTATGATAGATTATACTGTTTGAGTTATTAAATGTCAAGATCAGGGGAAATGGAGTAAATTAATTATTTTTAGAAGAGAGATGAGGAATGTATACTCAGAAAAAGTACCCAATGCATTTTATAAGTATATTCAAGTTTTTCTTATGTATTCTAATGATATTATATAGTCTGACATGCTTTTTCTAGAAAATAATTAGTATGGTATAGATTCTCATCATTTAAAAATTACTCTAGGTACTTGCTTTAAAAAAAAGTAAAGAGGAAAAAAAACAAACCATGGTTATTATGTAATTGATCAGTTCCTGTGATGTATTTGTTGGTCAGAATTTCAAGTAAAAAAGAAATTACCAAAACAATATTATGGATCTCTTCATTTTTWAAATAACAGTTAAAATATTAAATGTATGTAATTTTATTAACAGTGTTTGGCAAGATTCTAAACCTAAGTAAAAGAGTTTGTCCATGTTTTATACTAAAATCATTTCCTTTTAAAAACAAACTGTTATTAACAGTGCTTTTTCATGTTGTTTCAGCTTTCTCAGAAATTTCTATAGAGTGAAACCTGCTTTTCAGGCTATGTTGAATTATCAAAGATGTATGTCATTATTTGTCTGTCTCTTATCTTTCCCCTTTATTTTCAGTGTACACTATCTTCTCGAAGGTGAACTCTGATCGGAATGTATACCCATCTGCAGGTGTCCTCTTTGTTCATGTTTTGGAAAGAGAATATTTTAAGGGGGAATTTCCACCTTACCCAAAACCTGGTATGTTCTTTGTGTAAACAAAGGTGGTTAATTACAGAATGTTCCTTTTTGTTCATTGTACATAATCTATATGATCAAATATCATTAACATTATTTGAAATCATTTAGATATATAATAGATTGCTTGTTGTAGGTTATTTATAATTTTAAGATTATTAATTTAATTGCAGAAGGAAATAATTTACTTTTGAATTTTATTTTTTATTGTTGCATTGTAATTATATACAATAGTGGGTTTTGTGGCATATTCAAAATGCATATAACATACTTTGATCAATTTTATCCCCCATATTTTTGAACTTTAAAGAAAACATATTTTTCAATTCTTAATTTGAAGTTTTATGCCTCTGACAAATGATCTACCTGTATTCACATAGAAATAATTGTAACTGAACAGTTGTGATTTTCCATATTAAGAATTACATTCTTATATTGATTTTTGAAAAACTGTACATGTTATAAAAGAGAATGAAATATGATGTTAGGTAAGCATTCTCAAAAAGCCTTTATAATATCAGATAATTTTATAAAAATTCATAGTAATATAATGAAGATTAATTTTTCCTTCAAAATAATACCAATTATGGAGTCTTATTTAATTCACTATTAGTTTAAATATGTTATTTTGAATTATCACAAATGCCATCACATTAATGAAGATATAGAGAGACTAGCAAGAAAAAAACACATTAAATTATAACTCTCAAGTAACAAAAATGAATTTTCTGAAAATTGTATTTTGCAAGAACACATTTTATGCATTAGAATTAATATAAATATTTCTTTGGAGGAGCGTATGATGAATATAGAGTCTCTGAAAACATTCATAAAATAAAGGTAGACATGTTCTTAATAGTATTTGAGCAAAAAGGTAGTCTTTTCATCAATTATGTAAAAAATGATTCCTTATGGGGCATCCAGTGTTTGCAAAATTATATGATTAAACCTTTAGAGAAGTAGCTCTAACACTTTGAGATGCAAACATGCAGTTAATAGCAAAATTTCTGAACTCAGCCAGGATTAAGGTCTAGTTTTACCACTTAATATGACCAACCATGGAGAAGTTACATAATATAGAAAATTACATATTATATCATATGTATGTTTTAAAAATCAGATGACACAGTGTTTATGAAGCATTTAACAAAGGGCCAGGCACATGCTAATAAATCATGCTGTCATTAATGTTTATTATTAGTAAATGTCATTACTACAGTTGTTTTGGATTTGTAACATCTTTTTCATCCTAATACCCCAAGTTTTAAAATTATGTTATTTTTATGTTGGTGATACCTTTTTAATTTTCTGGACATCTCTTAGCATTAATTTGATGATATTTGGAGTTTGATGAAAGGAATACTTCTCAAAAGAATGAATTTATCAGTATGGTTAATGATGATGTAGAGCTATTCTATCATTGCTATAACAGCCGTACTCTTAATTACTTTCTCCAAAAATTTTCCAAGAAAATTGTATGAATTTGCTTTTTCAGTTGGATCAGATTCCTAGACAAATTAAACAACCAAAATAATTTTTCATTACATGGAGCCCTACTCTAAATTCCCAGATGGATTTTTTTGTTTGTGTATTTAATTTGCTAAAAATGTAAAAAAAAATTTTTTTTAGACAGAATGTTTTGATTGAAACTATCAAAGCAACATGTGTGAAAGTAACTGTCTTATGTCTTAATTTTGTGTTTCTTATCTAGGGGAGATTAGTAATGATCCCATAACATTCAATACAAATTTAATGGGTTACCCAGATCGACCTGGATGGCTTCGATATATCCAAAGAACTCCATATAGTGATGGTGTCCTATATGGTTCTCCAACAGCTGAAAATGTGGGGAAACCAACTATCATTGAGGTAATTTACTTAAAAAGAATAAAATTATATGTGTGTGTGTGTGTGTGTGTGTGTGTGTGGAGAGAGAGAGAGAGAAAATTTTAAGCATTGAAATTAAAATTACATGGCAATCATTTTAATATTTTTAATATTAACATCAGTTAATATTTCCATTCATCTATAAAGTTTGTTGTTTTAGCTTTTACATGAAAAGATAATTAAATTAACTAAAAATTAAATGAAATTTTTGAAGAAATATATTACTAGAATGTAAATTATTTTTAAGAAACTAAATGCAGACCTAAAATAATTATTTGCTCTGTATTTTATATTCAAATTTCTTGTTCACTGAAGTGTAGTCCTTCAGCTGACATCATATTTGACAAGGATTGTGCAGGTACTTAGGGCTAGAAAGATGAGTAATGGTTAAGTCCCTCCATATTGGTCCAGGGTTGGGGCACTGGGAAAGAAACAGATATTTAGCCAGCACTGTGATGACTGATATAAGAAGAAGGCTATYTTGGGCAGAGGAGACAGCACTTGGTAGAGCACTTGCCTAGCATGTGCAAGACTCTGGATTCCATCTGCAGCACGAAAACAACCAACCAATAAAAAACAAAAAGTCTTTTGAAAAACTCTTTTTAAGTATGAAAGAATTCTTTCTTGCTTTCCAGTACTGGGGATTGGACCCAGGGCCTTATGCAGGTCAGGCAAGAAATCTACCAGTAAGCTACACCCACAGCTCAGGATGTATCCAGTAAGACCTAAATATTTTTAAATTAAGAGGAAGAAGATGGATCAATTTCCTTGTATTTGTAAATTTTTTTCCTCAAAAAGAAATTATTTAAAAATAGCCACAAACTGGGAGAAAACATTTGTAATACATGTAACTGATTAAGGATGAGTATCTGAAATATAAAAAGAAGTGCTACTCTTACTAGTAATGAGTAATAGTTAAATTAAAACCACAATGAGAATGTTACCATCATTAAATCCGCTGCATGTGGGAATTAGCATAACTACTTTGAAAAATTACTGACTGTTTCACATATTTAAGTATCATTGTATCCTATGATCTAGCAGTCCTAATTCTTGGCTTAACCAGAAGAAATACTTTCAGATATTTACGTGGAGGCATGCTCATTAAACAATATTTTTATAGCAAGATACTGGAAACCTACAAAATTGTAGAGACCTGAAACTCTATCAGCAAGAGAATAGATTAATAAATCATGATATAGTGGTGCAATGAATGGTAAGCCTAACACTGAACTAATTCTTGCCTGGCAAAATGAATAAATGGGTTTTAGATCTTGTTACTGAATATAATGTTATGAATATGTATCATATGATAGGCTGAAAAGATAATGGTGAAAATTTAGCATAGTTTTCATAGAACACAAATAGCAATTTATCTGTGAATAGCTTATTTTTACATCCATGTGTTGGTATCAGTATGATATTTTAAGAACATCATTCTATTAGTTTAGGCAAAAGTTTTGCATATCTTCACCTATTATTTAATGTTATAAATATATAGATTAATTCATTCAGTAGATATTTATATATAATATTTAGAATTTAAATATCTAAAATAGATCAGGCATTGTATTAGAAGTAGAGGATCAGAAATAAACTGTACACACACCCCTCAGCTTTGAAGGTCTTTACATCTTTGTAATATAAGTATAATTTGGCTAATGTTATTATAGTACTTAAATCTTATTAGAAGTGGTAGGACTACATTCTGTTATAAATGTTTAAATTAAACATTAAATATAAATTCAGATAATAAAATTTTCCTCCTAATAAGGACTATTTTTCACTCCTTTCAGTAGCTTGTGATTTAAAAAAAAATACTTCTTAGAGTTTATGAAATAGTAATGAAATTTGTGAGAAATATGGGAAGGTTAGACATGAAAATATGGTTATTATAGCAAGACACTGGAAACCCACAAAATAATAGAGACCCAAAACTGTTGAAAATACATTTTTTTAGTTGAACCTATAAGGTATAACAAATAGGAGAAGACTGGTAATTTTTTTCTCACTAAAAATATTTTTTGTAGGGTAAACTCTGTAAGCCATGAAAATTCTCAAATAAAACCTACTATATGCATTTTTTTATTGGCTTTGTTTGAACAATAATTTCTACTTTTCTTTAGCGACTGGTCTTAATTTTAGTGTTAAGTGTGAGCCTAGCAGCAAAGAAGTGTTTGATTCAATGGAAATTTCACAAACTGGAGACAGAAATCCTTTTAACTTTGTGGAATAATATGCCTTTCAGAATATAGACCTTTTAAATATTGTGTCCAGGTTTGGAACTATTTATTGCAAAATTCTGATTCTTAACTTTTCTCTCAATAACTCATGATTGCAGTTATTTCTTTTGAAGATCATATGTAATATATAGAAATCTTTGATATCTGTTTTTAAATGCACAAGATTTTTCTTCTTGGTTGGAGCCAGTTTTATCCTACCCTTTTGTCTCACTGTCAACTACAGCTGAAATTACTGCCAGAAGTCTAGTGCTGGGATTCTAAGACTTTGACACAATCATTTGTTTTTTCGAGGTACTACAGTTGTGTCTGAATGATTTAATATCTGCTATAAAATTAATTATTCCTTGATTTTTGAAGTCATATCCCGTTGTTGGCCTTTGTTTGTTGTTTGCAGTGGCATTTCTGAGTTGACTTTGATGTAAGTTCATTGGCTCTGCAAATGTTTACTAATATTTGACTCCATGGAGGAATTGATTTGTGCTTTTGAGCATGTGCCATAAGCTGTATAGACTATGATCCCTACTGTTTTACTCCTATATGTGAGATATGATTTCCAAAGGGTTATTTACAAGGTTTTTTTGACTGACTGGTATGCAGTTTAATACTAAATGCAAATAACACAAAGGTGTGCTTATTTCAAAGTGTACTTTCCTTTAAATCCTTAAACTCCATTTAAAAGTACAAAAAAATGCATTGTTTAGATTCTTTGAAATCTTAGAAAGTCACCAGTAAGTAATCCATAATGGTTAATCCATTTGCTAATGATGCATCTGCATCACTACCTGTACTTAATGGCCGTTATGTGAAAGGGTCTTTCTGCATTTAACTTTTTGTTTTAGCATGTTAAGTAGATCCTGCTAATTATTTATTTTCCTATAATATTGCTAAAAGCCCTGAGTTTTTATTGCCCAGAAAAGAAATATACTGTAAGTTTATCAACAAATAATGAAAATGGAAAGAATGACAATTTGTTTTCCTTTTTGTCCTTAATGAATTTCATTTTACAAATAACATTTCACTTCTTTAATATGATTTTCCTTTTCTAATAGATAACTGCCTACAATAGGCGCACCTTTGAGACTGCAAGGCATAATTTGATAATTAATATAATGTCAGCAGAAGGTAGGTATGGAAAAATATGTTGATCATTTCCTTATTTACAAGAAGCATTTCATTATCTTTTATAACTGTATAAAATATAGTTAAGAATTTTAAAACACCACAAACCTAATTCAACTGATGAAGTAGTAAATGTAGCAAAGAAAATTGAGACATATCTAAATATGTAAAATAACATGGTATGTTACTCTGAAGAACTAAGGATGGGGGCTGAACAAGGTTGACACTTCTTAAACCCTTGTTTTCTTCATTTGTAAAATGCTACCAAGAACATGTTTTCTCTTATATATCTGTAGTAAGGATTCTTTGAGATAACTCTTGAAAAGTGTTTGAAAATATCACAGTGTACACAGTTAGTAGTTATTAGCTACTTTTATTATTTTACTTTAATATTTACAATAGGTAGTAGTTCCTTTGTATATGAAGATAAGCTGTAATTTGGAGCAGTTTTCCTGCTGAATTAGCTAATCATATATCAGTAATGACAACAGTTTGTCTGCAATTTAGACATATATGCCCAAATGGTAAGTGATTTTCTTAGGATTTTGAAGTTAGGGACAATGGAACTTTTCCAAGAATTACACTCTCAAATATTTTGACCCCATGTTGGCAGTTGGGAAGAGTGCACACCATTAAAATCTTTCTTTGTAGTTGAAATTATTAAGTCATGGGATGATCCTATCTGTACTATACATCGTTTGTGAAGGTCACAGGAGAGGAACTATCGGGAAAAATTCCCCTCTAAAAATAGTAACCATTATGCATTCTTTATAGGGTAATTCTTGCTTCTGTTTACCAGAACAATTGCAAACACAAAACATTTTACTAGGATGTACTAATTCAGTAAGGGCTGGGTTAAAAACTGCCTTTAGACAATATGAAAGAAAGCAATTTCAGTAAAATTAATAATACATACATGGAGAGACTACTTGAAGACTTGAACCTCCTTAAGTGAAATATTCCCCAAGTGTTTTAGCAGTATCAATGTATAAGTTAATGGCCTTCATACATGAAACTAAGGTCCAAGCTTTAGTTGTATGGGCCTAGACAGAGGACTCCCTGTCCATGTTTCTACTTCCCAAGGGCTTTTGATAGGAATTTATGTTTGGATCAGGGAGATTTCTGATTTTGATTACAATTGTGATTGGATATTTGTATCCAATCTGAGATGTCCCCGTTGGTATTGGGATGCCCTTAATGAGCAGAATAATGACACACTTAATTTTCTCCTCAGGAATACATCACAAGAGTTATGCTGTTATATTGCAGTGGTCTTGGGCCATTGATCTCATCCAATGTGCTTTCAGTGGGACGCAAAACTTTTTGTCAAATATGGGAGTTCCTATAAATTGAAAGACTGACTAGTCTACAGCTTGACCTTCCTCCTTTTCCAGCCTAGTCTCAGTAGGGTAGAAACAGAACACAGGGCAGAAGACTGCTAGATAACCAAAAGATCTAAAGTTTGTGTGGGGGTTTATCTAAATCAGGGGTTCTGAAGCTGTGCACATGAAGGAGAAAAAGTAGAGGGGCTTTTGGAAGCTTCCACTTTGATGTTAGGTAAGCATAGCTGCTCCACTGCCCTGTATATGTGGTTCCGTGACCCAAAACTGTTTGGAAACCACTGAACTTAAAGGTCCTGCATTTGTCCTTGCTGGTCTAGACAGAATATGTGTGCACACTAGGATGAGCATCTTTGAGCATGGCCTTCACTCATGCTGTTTGTCCCAGATAAGGTTTAGGAAGAGAAGTAACAACGTTGTAAATCAGGGTAATCATGCTCAGTCCAACTCCCTGCCCAGCTGTCTCCTGTTTTGAGAGACCTAATGGGAAATTAGTCGTGTAGACTCACTCAGCATGGAGCTCAAGGAGAGTACATAAAGTGATTCTCTAAATTGGGTTTAGCGCCTCAGAGGCCTGCCACCAATCTGTTGGCCTACTGTTCTCTTGGCCTCTGTGATTTCCGAATATAGCAGGCATGGGATTTCCCCAGAGTTAGAAAGCTGCTATGACTCATCTCTGGGAGGCCTGACAGCAGCTCTTGGCCCAGTAGACAGCAGGCAGCTGCTTAGCCCAAAGTCTCTGAGGGGTGTGGTGGTAGCAACAGGCTTCACAGCGGGGAATCGAATAGGGAGTCATGGAGCAGGGATCAAGAGAAGCCAAACAACACTTCTCCAAAAAGTAGCACTAATCATATGAAAGAAATTTTACAAACTTTTCAAAAAACTAAATGTAAAAACATTGAATGAAATGAAGAATTATAGACTTCTGACATTAAAACTATACTTAGTATTATTTATAATATTATTTATCATCAAGAAACTCTTTATCATTCATTTTTACATGAATATTTCTAGGTATGGGGGGAGATGTCCTATCATTAAGATACTATTTATCTCTAGTAGAAAAGAAATGTGTATAAACAGGAGATTTATCTGCATGAAAGAGAATGAATTATATTTTAGAAGACTGCAAGATAGGTTGTGCATTAACAATTTTTTTTGGTGTGCAAATCTAAAAAAAATCACAAGGAGAATTAATGACAGTATAGGAGATAAGTAAAGAACTTTCTGTGACTAGAGCCTTGAAGGACTAAGTCTTTAGGAAGAGATGACCATGCTCTGGACAACTCTGTTGTAAACTCTGAAGCCAGTTCTCTGGCTTCAACTCTGGCATCCAAGTGTTCTTTAATGTCAAGGAGGTTCCATAAGAAATGAGATCATCAAGATTTCAGGTGCTTAGTATGTTATTTTTATTTTTCATTTGGTAAATAAGAGTGGAAAAACTTTATGGATTCAAGAAGTTTGTTGAAATAAATCAGAAGATACACATAATATAATTACTATTGGGGACTTTAAATCTTTGTAAAGTCCGGAAATATTTTCCTGTCATTTTAAAGTAAGATTTCAGATAACCAGCCTTTTCATATCATTATAATAAAGGCTCAAGTATTACTCTTCCATAAGTTCTTACTACATGTTTGGAACTTTGCTGAGTACTTTAGAGACATCCTTTATCCTTTAGCTTCGGAAAAATCACATGGGGTAAGTTCAAATTATTGTAAGCTCTTGGACTTCTCTAAAGTGAGGTTTCCCATCTTAAAAGCCTAAGGAAAAATACAAGAATCCACCCTCATTCCTGTAGTGAGAATTATGTTTTAATTCATCTAATTCTCTGATTTTGGTCTGCCTCGGGAAATACTTTTTAAAAAGTGAAATTTTATTATTACAAAAATAGTGTTAAATAAAAAAGAAATCTATTTTATCTTAATAGAATAATCAAAACATAGGATATAAACATGATTAGTAATTCAAGAGTAACACTTGAGAAGCTGAAGTGGTTTTATATTTATTTAGAGGCTTTTACATTGACAATCTGAATTTGACATTGGGTTGATTGAAATATTAATTTTGAAGTGTTTAAAGGAGAATTCTGATGAAACTTTGGGATGAAAAAAGCTAACAAAATCTCTAACAATGTGACACATGGAATTGCATGAGAACTTTATGATTTTTCTAGAATATTTAATCATAGTGATCAAAATAGTAGAATTGCTCTGGCATTTAGAATTCTTGTTGTATATATAATCAGTGTTTATTGCATAAAAAGGAATGTTTTAGAATGCTCTAAACAATATTAGTAATATTATAAATTAAAAACACAGATTTAGTTTTTCTTTTTTTTGGACCAAATTCTACAATCATAAATTGCCTTTAGATGTTATTATATTGTAGACACAGTTCTGTGTTTAAGGTGTGTTAAACACGTGTCCCTTGGTGTTCACAGGGGTTTTATTTCCAGACCCCAGGGGACACCAAAATTTGTAAACGCTCAACCTTCATAGAAAATGGCACAGTGTTTTCACATAACTTATATATCTCCTCTCTTATACTTTAATTCAACTCTAGATTATTTATAATACCTAATACAGTGTAAATGCCATGGGAATAGTATATTTTTTAGGGAAAAACCCTGTACATGTTGAGGACAGATAAAATTTTTAAGGGTATTTTTGATCTGCAGTTGGTTTAATCCAAGGATGTTCAACCAGTGGGAGTGGAGGACTGATTGTTTTAATATCGCTCCTACTGCCAGAGTTGTGACAGAACTTAACAGAAATCAAATTATTTTTGTTTCCCTTTAAAAAGACTAGTTTATTAACATCACGTGTATTCTTTTTTCACAAACAAAATAGACTTCCCGTTGCCGTATCAAGCAGAATTCTTCATTAAAAATATGAATGTGGAAGAAATGTTGGCTAGTGAGGTTCTTGGAGACTTTCTGGGGGCAGTGAAGAATGTGTGGCAGCCTGAGCGCCTGAATGCTATAAACATCACGTCGGCCCTAGACAGGGGCGGCAGGGTGCCGCTTCCCATTAATGACATGAAGGAGGGGTAAGCAGACCTTTATCTCATTGCCTTAAATATGGATTTTTAAATATGGTGTTCTTATCAAACTAACTGTAGATGGAAGATGGCCTATTACATTTTTCTTTTTAATAAAAAACAGATATTGTAAAGATATCAACATACTAGCAATTTTCTATATTGACAAAAGAGGTTATATTAATGGTTCTTTAAATCTGGAGTCTCAGGTCCTGTGAAATCTAATTGTAGATCAGATCAGCATAATAAATTATAGCACCAAGTCTTTTGTACCTTCTTTAGAGAAGCTGATTATTTAGGGCCATGAATTTCAAAGGAAATTGATGCCCTAGTTATCTGCTGTAGAAGGATGCACTGACTGCTGTAACTTTATTCTAGGAAACTATTTCTTCGCCTTTAACATTCTTTCCACCATGTGTCGGTGACTGATAGCTGGAGTGGATTTGAAACCATTCCTGTGACACGAGAGCCTAAAGCCTGGCCTTGTCACTCACAGACTGGGTGACATCAGGCAAACGCCGAAGTCCTCTGGGCCTCAATTTCTTCTTCTGTTCCTTGGGGAAACACTTTCTTGCAGGGTTGTTATAGTGATTAAACTAGACAAAGCATTTAAAAGGGATTTGTCAATTTTCAAGCAGTAGGAGTACAAAGTATGACCTGTAGCCTTGGAGGAGTCAAGGACACTGCTGCCTTGGTAAATTGAAAGCATCAGTGTCAACATCAAGCCAAACCTTCCATCTTTAATTTCTAATCTGTATGTTGATACAGAATTGCTTTTCCCCCCAATCCTCTATAAGTACAGTATGTGGAATAAATCACATTTTGCACAACATGTTCTCTTTCTAACTTCTTCATCCATAATCCTGGTCACACTTTCATACAGGTGATATCTAAAATTAACTAGGATACCTGGATTAGTAAGAATTAGATTTCAGGGCAGCTTTGAAGAGAACTTTGTTGGAAATAACAGAAAAGATCACAAATACAAATAAATGAAGTTTGAGGGAGTAGGCAGAAGGGGGATGGAGAAAAGCAGTGATCTGTGAAGTCCAACTTAATTTCAGAATTAAGTTTATCTTCTATGGGATAGCAATGGATTTTGAAGTCACTCAAGCACATGTAAGAAGTGCTTTGAGGAAAATAGTTGGCTTATCTCTTGTCTCTGTGCTGGTTGACTTTCTATATGAAAATATAACTCTAAAGCTCAAATTTTCACTGTAGAGTTAAAATACGAACCTGTTTCCCACTGAATAATTAAAAAAGTAGAACCAGGGAACCAGATGGGCAGGGAAATCCTTCTGAAAAAAATTCTTCCAATATGGAGCTTTTTCAATAGTTTTCTTATTGTGTCCCTTGATGATTGTTAAAACAAGCACCACGCCAGGCGAGGTGGCACACACCTGTAACCCCAGATACTGGAGAGGCTGAGGCAAGAGAATTGAAAATTGGAGGCCAGCCTTGGTAACTTAGTGAGACCCTGTCTCAAAATAAAAAAAAAAAATGAAAAGGGATGTAGCTCAGTGGTTAAGCACCCCTGGGTCCAATTCTTAGCACTGTACTGAGAAAATGGTGGAGAAAACAGTAGGAAAACCAAGTACTAGTAAAGTCTTTCATAGTTACATTTTCTCTTGGGCTCACTCCTTCTCTAGTCAGTCATGCAGACACCACTTTTAGAATCTAAACTAAACTAGATTCAACTAAGCAATCTCTAAACCAAACTGACCTAAAGTGGTGCTTCCCAACCATGTCCAGCTTGAGAATCACCAGTAAAACATGATTAAAAATACAGATAGGTTGCTAGCCTCTGATACAACTTAGAGATTCTTATTTTTTGAACTTAGGGCTGGGCCTGAGCATGTGACTCTAAATTAAGAACAGAATTTTCGTCCTCCAAGTACTTGTTGAGAATTCAATCATTAGCTGACTGACCCCCAACACCTGCTAGAGGGTGGCATATGCTGTCAGCTATTTGAGAGAGTCAGTCCTGTGGCACTTATTTAGACTCTTGTCTCAGATCCCTTCCCAACTTGAAATGCTTTCCATGAGTTTTAATTTAATGTTAAGCCTTAACCTTTACAAAGTATTCATATGAGAAGTCTTTAAAAATAGCATTTCTATAAATTGTACCCAATGCCAACTCCATTACTTCAGTGTTCCTATACAAGCCCCAATGAAATAGGATCCTACTTGAAGTATAATTCCAAAAGAAAAGTTTACCCCTGGGAATGATTTTTCATGTTTTCTTTAGTTGGCATCTAAGGTCATGATTACAAAAATATTTTTTTAGCTCTATTGCCTTAAATTTAGAAATAAATTCTGTGCTTAACTCATTTTTGGTGCCTTCCTTCCTTTTTAGTGATATATATTGTTGTTTTACTTCACTTAATATACCTTTAGCCTTTGTATTTTCTTATGAAAATATCATAGACTATAGATCCTTTTTTTTAAAAAAAGATTAAATACTATAAAGACTAAGAGTGTGGATCAGAGATAGCCAAGAAATTGATTCCCTTACTTTTCTAAAATTATTTAAAAACGTATTTATATACTTCAGAAGTATTAACCAAGCACCTAATAAATGTGTTCTGCTTAATACTTAGGATATGTCATGGCAGCCACAATCTACTAACTGCATATTTTTCCTTATTTGGTATACATAATCAAATAAACAGCAGATGACTGTGTGTAGCTCTTAGTAGTAGACTCTATCCAAGGGGTCTAATACTATATACAAGTAGTAGGATTTACTTGGATACATTAAGTGTCCTTCTATAGCCTAATGGGTCATTAAATACCAATCATTAAGAACCCATTCTGTAGCATCCCAGCTCCTCACCCTTTTTGATGTGTATTTTTTCATCTTTGCAGAACTCATTGACAGCTTTCAAACTTCTAAATCAAACAGAAAACAATTATAAAGATTTATTTCAAAGTGAGTAAGCTTCTGCAAAGGAAGGTTGAGCCCTCTGAAAAGATTCATTTTCACTCGCCAGATTCATAACCCCAATACAACTGTGCTGTCTCTGGGCATGTTCTTGGTGTTGCTTTTGCTCTTGACACCAAGCCAGAGACTGAGGACTTGTGGATGTATTTAGCCTGGGATAAAGCTGGTGGAAAGAAGAGCAGGTTCATATTTCATTCTAGGCATGTCATAGCTGCCAACCACTGGTGAATGATGTGGTGTAAATGGTGACTATGAAGGGAATGATTGGGTGTGAGGATTAAAGAATATACTCACTTTTCATAAGAGATTGTCAAAGCTACCACTATTTCCTCTAGTTACCAAAGCATGTAGTTCTAGCCTCAATCAGCAACAGATAATCCTACTTTATTTTCTAGACCATCTCAAAAAATACTCTAAGTAATCATCTGATTTTTGCCCTATGTCAGAGTCCTCAGTGAAAAGTTGTGCTTGAGGAAAAGAATGTAAGTCAATAGCTGTCACATATTGGTCTAATGGAAAGTCATATCCTGAGCCAGTCTGTAGAATTCTGAAATTATCCTCATGCTTGATAATTTATAGGATTACTTATTATCCTTAAATAATGTCCCTCCTATATTTTTGGTACATATAGCCTTTATTTTTTGGAAAAGTGGTAACATGAAATAGGAATGTTTGAAGATGCCTTTAAAGTAGAAACCCATTTCAGTCCATTTTTATAGCAAAAAATAAATTAGATCTATGCAACTATATGTTTAATATCTATTCTAAGTTCTGCCATTTTTTTCCCATAACTTAAAATTAAGTATTTTATTTTTTTTAAGTGGGAGAATATTGTATTAGTCCCTGGGGCACAGTGACTTTAAAAAATACAACTTATGCTCACAAGCTTATAGGGACTAGGTGAGTAATCAGATAATTGAAGTCAGTGTTGTGAGGTGTTCACAGAAAGGGCTCCTTTCTCATTCTTGTCTGTGGCTGGAAAAGTTCACAGAGGAAGTAAAGCMTGATCTGAGTTGGAATATGAGTGCCAATTAGCCTGTGGAGAATATGAGGAAGGGGAACTCTGAGGAGAGTGTAATGGAATTGAAAACATACTTAGTATAGAAGTTGGGGAAAGGGATTCAGAAGTGATTGTTATGCAGAGGACAAAGTCCAGAGACCATGAAGGCCTTGTAAGCTAGGAAAAGTTGTGAATTTTATCCTGAAGCATTAGGGACTGTAGCAGAAAATGGTTGATGTTTAAGTTTTTATTTTAGAAAAGATCACACTTGTGGAATTAGGGGAAGACTGAATGAAGAAATGCTGTAATGAGATAGGTATTGGGACTTTAGGTGACCTAGTGACGTCCATGTTTTCTGCCAGGGAAACACAAATGAGAGGAATGTGAGCATTCAAGCCAATTCTTACAGAATTTGGAGCCTTTAAAACCCTTACTTCTCTAAGGAATAATCACATCCCTTTGTTCTTTGTGCAGAACAAAGAGGTGGGGTAAGGGAAAAAGTCCTGTGCTGCTCAAGTGTTTCCAGGGACCTGGGACATGTATATTTACACATTCTTCCAAGTTGGTTTTGTAACATTTTTATGCACAAAATAACAGGTAGAATATATTCATGAGTTGGACAATTAGGGAAAAACACACAGTCACTGGATTTATTTATCTGGCTGTTGATGAAAAAAGCAGAGATTGAATTAAATTATTTGCCTTTTACTTGGTCCTTCACATTGGATGTTCAAAGGCCTCAGTAAATACATTCTACATCAAGGACGGAAAATTGAATTGTTCAAATTGGAAGAAAAAATTCTTCATAAGAAACAATTCTATCTAGTGTGCACGATTTCCTACCATTTTGAAGCACCCTGTTTTGTTAACATTCATTGAGGGCCTTGCACTTGCTAATATAACCCCATCTAAGCCAATAACACACATTTGAAATATTGAAAACACATATGTGCTAAGGTCAAAAAGTTAAAGATCATCCTCATTTCACTGCATAAAAATTTTAAATTTCTTCATATCAAAAACTTACCTAAAAGGCAAACAGATTTTGAAAAATGTAATTTTAGC